AATAAAAACCAAGAGGGAAGAAAAAAAAGGGGGATAATTGGTGGTTTACAGGGACAGACCCCGAAAAAAAAAAAAAAAAAAAAAAAATTGTTTGGTAGATAAAAGTATCATCTGGTTTGGCCAGATTCACTTTGAAATAGTTTAGTAAAGTAAGAGTTTTGCTTTTATTAAACTACTACTACTTTCATAAAGTATTATTGTATAATTCTAACATGACATAAGTTTGCTGTCAACTAAATCACAGCTAATGTTGCCCAAATAAGGCTTATCTTAAACAAGCATGTGAATTTCTCTTGTTGTGCTTCAAAGTATGCCCAGGAAAGGTCATTTTAAACCAGTGTCATGTACTTTTAACTATGTCGGTATGTAGTGTGATGAAGGACAGCTATAACATCAGAACGCTTTCTCCTAAAATAGGAACTGGAGCCTCTTGGTTCTGCCTGTAAAAGCGTGTCATCCACTAATTTCCGTTTTATTTCGATTTTTTTCTAAATTTGTTTTGTTTGTTATTGTTGGGACAAAATAGTTTTATTTTAATTGGGAAATTCAGGAAAAAAAAAGATAAATTTCTTTGATTGTTAGACATTATCTTTAAGATGAAACTTGAATAAGTCAAGACTGACTGAGATACAAATACGACAGACAAGGAAAGGCGAGGACGGAGAAGAGTAGCACTTGAGTTGTTAGGGGTTGATTGGCACAGAATAAAGGAAGAAACGGCTCTGACCTTTTTCTTGAGTGGTCTGTGGCTCTCATGGGTTTTAGTTCAGGTAGGAAGAGGGAGGTAAAATGTAGAAATAAAAGATGGAGAAAATAGAGAGAAGAAGGAAAGAGGCCAGCAGAAAAAGTGGATAAGTGTGTCCCAGTTGACATTCAAGGTCAGCACTGTGCACAGAAATGTACACTTGCACATCCCTACCCACACAAAGACACTGGCAGCCAGTGCTGCACACACACTTTCACTTTGATGCACACAGTCTTTCCCGCGTCTTAATGGCAGTAATCACTCCTCAAACTCCTGCCTCAAGTAAAGTTCAAGCCCATTAACTTAAAATATATATACAGCCTTTCTCCTTTTCCCTTCTCTGTAGTAGCTGCACTTTCAAATTTTAGCTCTTTCCTTCTGTTTTGTTTGCCATCCGCTTCCCTTTTTGTTGCTCCGGTGTGAACAAGCTTGAGTGCTTGTTCTCATTTTGTTTGAGATCTTGCTGTCCCTCAACTGTTATTGATGAGGTTACGGCAACTTTGTTTCAGCGTTTTCACCCAGTTTTGTGCTGTTTTTGTGCCTCACAAGTATGTGTTCTCTGCACTAGGTATTACCTTGTCTGAAAAATGCTTTAAAACATTGTAACTGCATAAGAACTATTAAATGGATTGCAGTTAGTCCTACACTTATTAATATCTGTGGCAAATTTGTATTAATTATTGTTGTTTTTCAACCAAGCACTGCATATGATATGAAATGATATACAATATGATAATCTCTGAAAAGATAATAAAATAATGCTAAAAGATTATCTATATCATTCACATTGTATTTAAGAATGGCATGTCAGAAATCTTTTGTATTTATTTAAAAAACTTTTTGTCACATTTTCTTTGATTACTGAACAGGTTTTTCCATGTTTCCACTGATATTTCTCTGACATATCATTGGTGATGAGCTACAGGCTTTAGTGGTTTAAAGAACTTCTTCCCATCACTCTCATTTTTAGCACCACGTACTCATTCTTTCTGATGGTTGAACTAGTCAAAAAAGGAGTATAATATATATTCCAGTCAGAAGAGATG